TACCCACACATGACCATGACACTACCCACACATGACCATGACACTACCCACACATGACCATGACACTACCCACACATGACCACGACATTACCCACACACGACCATGACACTACCCACACATGACCATGACACTACACAAAAGTAATTAATGCAATTTGAAAAGAAAACTCCAACGACAAAAAAAAAAAAAAGCAAAAGTATGATAGTACCACAATACCATAATAACAGTATTTTGTTGGTATTAATGTCCAGGTTGACAGGTTGTTTGAGTGGAAACGTGGACCAGATTCCAGCATCATCAACACAATCAAGAAACAAAAGAGAAATACTAAACAAGAATTCGATGAAAGAGTTCAAATAGCTATCAAAGAATTTGCTGAGCAGGTCAGTTGGTAACATATTACCTGACCTGACCGTTGTGGTCACATGTAGGGATGTCGTTTCTGTCATTATCATTGGAGAGTGAATTCATATCTATTTAACCAACCACATCGTATGGGAACTCTGGCATGCCAATTACCCAACAACACTCTTCCAAGTATGATTTATCTATTTTTTTTTGTTGCCTGTAGGGTCTGAATGCTTGTTTATTTTACGATAATAAAGACACGCGGTCCTACGTATCTCTAATCCCGACGTCAGCTCACTCCGGTGATGGCATGGGAGATCTCATATCACAAGTGGTCAAACTTACACAGACCAGACTGACACAGAAGCTAACTTATTCAGAATATCTGGAAGGAATAGTGCTTGAGGTAGGTGCATGTTGCTCCAGTGGGTAACAATCAGGGGTAGACGTGTTAGACGCCCTACACTGTCCACTTGTCTCAAGGGGTTTTCTTCTGGTTGACACGGATGAAGTGACACCGGAAATTAAGTGGGGAAGAGAAGAGAACCAAAGGCAGTTTGTCTCCGCCACCAGCGACATACTAACATTTTTTATTCATTCAGGTAAAAGCGCTTCCTGGTCTTGGTACTACCATCGACGTTATCCTAGTCAATGGGAAGCTAAAGGAGGGAGACACCCTAGTCCTTCCAGGGATTGAAGGTCCCATAGTGACACCAATACGAGCCCTACTTACTCCTCAGCCGCTGAAAGAATTAAGAGTAAAAAATCAGTACCTTAACCATAAAGAACTGTGTGGAGCACAGGGTGTGAAGATCTCRGCAAAGGACCTAGAAAAGGCATTAGCTGGAGTGCCTATCATGGTAGCAGAGCATGAGGATGAAATAGAATATTGTAAGGTACGGACTTGGAAAAGGCTGTGAGATGTGCTGGAATACTTGAATGGCGTCTCATTACCTCTGTGGCTTCATTGTTGCGATTTCCCTCATTTCCCCCATTTTTTCAACGTATTTCATTCCATGGTGATACCTTAATTGTTTGTGCTAGTTATATTCTGTAACTATTTTAACATGGTATTCTTGTACTGATGTTCTTTGTTACCCGCTGTTTCAACAGAATGAAGTAACATCAATCATGTCTGCTGCTCTCAARGCCATCAAGCTGTCAGACCGTGGAGTGTACGTCCAAGCATCTACTCTAGGCTCCCTGGAGGCACTCGTGGAATTCTTGAAAAGCTCTAAAATACCGGTTAGTATGTGGTCTTTGAAAGCTGAGTTTTGGCTAATTACACTGTCTGTGTTTGCAGATACGTAACATTCTCTGCACTGCACTTTCACGTTTTTTTCACGTCTTTTCACGTCATACCTAAAATAAAGTTCTCTTGTTGATATTCAGTATGCAGGTGTTAATATTGGTCCTGTACACAAGAAAGACGTAATGAAATGTTCAATTATGCTGGAACACGAAGTACAGTAAGTAATCACCTGTTATCCAGGGATAATGTAGGGGATTAAGATTTGCGATATCTACAACGGCGAAGTCAACCAGAAGTATAAATAACTTCACTTTAGGCTTTCACGTCTTCAAAGTCTGTCTTCCCTGTGGATGAAAATTGACTTTACTGACAATGTTTTGAATGAAATCTCCAATGAAAAGAACCCCAAAGAGAAATTATTTGCACTTCCGGTTTATGTGGCCGTCGTGGAATTTGCAAATCTTATGACCCCTAATGGGAATGAGAAGGAAGTGGAGAGACTACACTGCATGGGACACAGTAATAATCAGTGATATTCTGCTTCTATTTATAGGTACGCAGTGATTTTGGCATTTGACGTCAAAATCGAAAGAGAAGCACAAGAAATAGCAGATAGCTTGGGGGTTAAAATCTTCTCTGCTGAAATCATTTATCATCTGTTCGACAAATTCACAGCCTACAGAGAGGTTAGTATCCTGTATTTTCTGCATCTTTCCTAGAATGGTACTCGTTACCCACTCGTCAAACAGTGATCAAGAACCCCATGTACACGACGATAATCGTTAGAGACAAGCCTTTAGTTTGCCTATCCCAAGTCACACCAACCACACCAACCTTCGTTTGTCTTATTTCTATAATATTCAGGAACRAAAGCGCAAAAAGAGAGAAGAATTCAGGAACATAGCAGTATTTCCTTGCAAACTTCGCATACTCCCTCAGCACATATACAATACCAGGGACCCCATTGTTGTAGGAGTGTCTATAGAGGCTGGTATTGTCAGGGAAGGCACTCCTCTTTGTGTGCCTAGTAAAAGTGTAAGTCCTATTACTCTTATTCTGTATTATCCTCTGGAAACCAAACGAAATAACTTTATAATATCGTTAGAAAAAAGGAAGGAAGGAGGGAGGGAGGGAGGGAGGGAAAGAAGGAATAAAGGAAGGAATAAAGAAAGGAAGGAAAGAAGAAAGAATGAAAGAAAAAACAAAAGGAACGAGCTAACGAATAAGAAAAAGACAGAATGAAAAAAGAATGTAAAATTGCGCAATCGCTTTCTCGAGTACTATTTTTTATTTAATTGCCTACTAAGCATTTAGCTAGGGAGGCGAGG